TGTGTAAGAAAATCCCAACGCTTTTCCTCGACTACGAGGCACACTAAGCCATATTCAACCTTTCGTCTTGTTGTTACAATCGTCTTTGTTTCCTACCACTACTTAAGTGGCCATTTCGTGTTCGGCCCCGCTCTGTTGCCCTGGATACCATAAATTTCAACGTGTGCCAACCTGTCATTTGACGAATTTCAAACAACTAACGTCTATTTCGTGAAGATTTAGATGAAATCCATCACTCACCTGCAGTTCATTATCAGTAAGAATTTGCTGTGGTGATCGTCGCAACCACCAATTTCCACCATGGCGGATGACTTGGACTATCTCTCGCCTGATTTCGACCTTAATTCACTGACAGTACCACGTTTACGGTCCATTCTAGTCAGCCATGATATTCCATATCCGGCCTCTGCGAAGAAGGCGCAGCTTATACGAATTCTGGAGGATGAGGTTCTACCTCAGGCGAGGAGATTACTGCGGGATCGAGAGCGAGTGAGGCGAACGAGTGAGGGGATTACAGATATGGGAAGTCGCGCGACATCGGTAGTGAGTGAATTCAATGATCAACGAGAGGATGACGGCAGAGATTCAATGCCGCCCCCACCAACACCTTCGACGGTCTCAACGGTAACTGGTGGGAGGCGAGGACGGTCGAGGATGAGTACGCGAGCCTCGACCGCCGACGTTGATGATAGAAACATTCCTGCCACTCCGTCCACAATTTCTAGACGCACAGCACCGAGATCAGAGTCGAAGCGCCTTCGCGCGTCAGAAAATCAATATCATCATGACACTCCTGCAACACCAATCGCCGCAGACACCGTTACTCCCCGAAAATCGACTGCTAGAAGACTACGAAGAAGCGAGATGACACCATCGACTGAGCCAGAGCCCATGGCACGGTTAATAAAAGAAGAGCCTAAGGAGGAGAGCGTTTTTACCTATGACAACCCGTTCCAGAGTGGCAGTTCTCCTGCCCCGTGGTCCGAGAAAAAGCGAAAAAGTGGATCGCTACTCCCGACTGAGAGCCCTGCTTTGGACCAGGGCCTGCGCGCTAGAAAGTCTGATGCGTTCATTAAACAAGAAGACGGCGCTACTGTATCCAGGCGATCTTCCTTCCAATTCCCCATCTCGAAGTTGAAATCACCGCGCAGGCAACTCGAATCTATGTCGGATGATGACGACGAGAGTGAGCTCAGTGCTGGCGAAGAATTCACACCGGAAGAACAACTTGCATTAGAAAGGGAGCAGGCGGACTTGTGGTACCCCCCTGCCCCGAACCGACAACAAAATCAAGGCTCAACGAGTCGCGCAGCTCCTTGGGTCGTTATCCTACTGTTGCTTGCTGGATTTAGTGTTTGGTGGCGTAAAGAGAAGATTGAGATTGGATTCTGCGGCATCGGAAAGCCCACTTGGTCATTGGCCGAGACTAGGATTCCTGAGTGGGCAAACGTCTTGGAACCCCAATGTGAACCTTGCCCTGCCCATGCATTCTGCTATCCCAACTTCGAAGCACTCTGCGAGCATGACTTTATTCTGAAGGCGCATCCTTTATCTCTGGGAGGCTTAGTTCCCCTGCCTCCGACTTGCGAGCCTGACAGTGAGAAAGCGCGGCGCGTCAAGGCTGTTGCTGATAAAGCTGTGGAGGAGCTGCGTGACAGAAGAGCCAAATGGGAATGCGGGGAACTCGCAGATGGTGGTCAAGGAGTAGAAGGGCCAGAGATCAGTGAGCCAGACTTGAAGCAGGAAGTAGGAAGAAAACGCCGGAAAGGAATGAGCGATTCCGAGTTCGATGATCTATGGAAGGGGGCGTTGGGTGAAATCCTCGGCAGGGAAGAGGTAATTAGCCAAACCAAGACGTAAGTCGCTCTTTTCTTTCGATATATTGTCCCCACAACAGGCGGGTTTCTAGGCTAGCGCCAGAGGATTATGGTTTCTGACGTGTATACGGAACTAACAGAGGCGACACTACTATTACAGACCATCTTCTGTCGTCACCCTCACCTCGACATCAGTCAGTCGGCTCCCCCTTACGTGCGCCTTCCGCCGCTACGTCCGACTCTCTCTCGTCGCGTATCGACTCCCTCTTTCAGTTCTAGCCATCTGTGCATGCGCCGTGATGTATGCACGCTCAAGAGTCCTTGCTCGCCGGTCTGATATGGCACGAGTCCCCGAACTAGTAGCCACCACGCTCGATCGCCTTGCGACACAGGCCGCTTTGCATGCTCGCGGCGAAGCCCGTGAGCCTTATATTCCAATTGGACAATTGCGCGACGACGTCCTTCGATCTGAATTGCGTGGTAGTCGGCGTGAAGAACTATGGCGACGGGTTCGCAGTGTCGTTGAAGGGAATGCCAACATTCGAGCTGCCGTGCGAGAGGGTCGTGGTGGTGATGTTGCTCGCGTATGGGAATGGATTGGCGGCATAGGCAGTGTTCGTGGAGACATTGACGGATCTACGACACGGCCGCGTGACAGCAGCAACCTGCATTTGTCGGCCTCGCCTCATGAGCAAAGCCGTCAGCCGATGGACAACCACGCCCATTCTCCGGATTCAGCACAGCCTCGTCGATGGGACGAAGGCAGGCCTATCTACTGAAAACCACTTTTTAGTTCCCTAACCCTAGTCCTTTCTCCTATTATCCGCATACTTTAATCATCTGCACCTCTTTATTCGTGGTACCCCTAAATGGTTTTTCTTTATCCTTGGAAAGGCTCGCTATCTCTTCTATGAACGGTTCTATTTCGCAGTAGATAGCTTCCAGCTTCCTTTTTTTTTTTTTTTTTTTTCTACTCTGGTATCGATAATGTCTTGGCACTTCACGGGCTTTTACGAAGTGGTTGAATGCTTTTGGAGGGGATTACATACACGGGGTGAGCAAAGAACATAATGACAATAATGTGAAATCGTGGGTTTAAAGGTTGTCGTCGCTGATCCTGCTCCGGTAGTAGTAGTAGTAGTAGTAGTAGTAGTAGTAGTAATAATAATAATAATAATAATAATAATAATAATAATACAAAGAGTAGGGAGAGGTAGAGCATGAGGAAGAAGATGTAACTCAGCCACCCTCAAGCCCAAGCGTCATGGATCTCTCTTTCTTCCATTGCTGCAAGAGAGGAAACCGACACTGATTGGCTCGGTCGAAACCGAGGTGCCCTATGCCGAAGAACGGCCTAGGTTGTTCCGACCTTAGTTCTACTGGATACTCATGTAGCTAGTCACTTGTCAATGCGTCTTCACTGGCAGAGGCATTGTATCCCTTGGTGCAGAACGGTTTTCTTAGCGAGCCTTCCAGAGGATATTCTGACTCGTAAGGTGGAAGGGGAATTTGCCACAGCTTCCTGAACCAACAGTGCACGATCCATGGGATCGGATCCTCGAGTCTATTTTAATTTTAAACTGGGATTTTGTCCTTCATCTCGCCTGTTTTTGTCGATCAATCGCTAGCGTGTGTTATGCATGGGCATTTCCTGTAGTCAAGTACCGATCATGCGTGAGTCGTGAGTAGATCCCTTCGTGGCGAGGAAGCCGGCTGTCTTCGCTTAGGCCTTTAGCTGAAGTTATTCGATGCTTCCAAGTTGGGCAAGTGTCTGTATTAGGTAGGAACCCACCCCTAACTATTTGTTGGGTTGGTAAGAGACTGCTTGCTATATAGTCTGGGTCTTGAAATTGTATACGAACTGAAGACGGGTTGAGTGGAGAATCACTGGCCTCTTTCTTCTTCTTTTATTTTTATTTTTTTTTTCTCCCAAAGAATATTAATAATACTAAAAATAAAATAAAATCATCGTTTTCCTGGTTCTCTATGGGAGTACGGGAATGAGGGTAGCTGATAGAGTAGTATCGAACTGGGATTCATTGGTGACGGTACTCCGTACATAATCCGAATCATACATACTGTGTACACTGTACACAACAAACATAAGATCATTGAAGATCCCTACCTGTATCTCAATCACGACTCATAAGATGCTATTCCCAAAGGGGACTAGCTTATAGCAAACAACTGGGCTGGATCACGTGTGGCGGCATCCTTGTTTCGATCGTCAGGATTCGAGGCTGGCTTGCGTCGAATGTTGTAAGAGCTGTAAGGGAGTGACGGTGTCTCGAACCGCAAAATTTCCCCATTCCCATTGGGTTTCCATGACATCTGGCTGCATCAGCTTCATGTGGTACCGTGTTTAACAGCTCAGTTTAAGCTTCGATGACTGAACCATAACAACACGCTTGGTCAGGCGATCCTTTGACAACGTTGATAATGTTCAATCAGGAAAGGTGGTCGTCACCTATCAACGATGAAATAAACGTACTTGTTTTCGATGAGAACGGGAGAACGAAATGCTTGCTCCCCACCGGGCTAAATCATTGGACGTCTACACGTTTTCGATGATTCGTGCAACCCCAGCCTATCAAGAAAGACGGAGAAAGTATCCGGGGTCAAGCTGCCATAGAATTCGTGCAGAACGCCTGCCCAGTGCCCACTACGTTTAGCCCCCGTGGCCACTGGGGCTTCTGCCACCGAATCAGCAAAGCACCCCTTCGCCAGAGGATTTTACGCGATCTGCATTGAAATCCTCTCGGACGATGATGAACGGAGAAGGATTCAAGGTGAGAGATGAAGTAGAGCCAATGAAAGGACATCAATCAGACGGTGCGGTACAGAATCTTTGACCAGTATTACTACGGACTACCCATCTACAACCGACATGACCGGAAACCCAACATGGTATCCCAAATGGTTGTTCGACCATGGCGTCGGGCCCTCGGTTACATAATTCGATGGCTCCGTCATCCTAAGGACCCAACCAGGGATCCAGTCACTATACCATTTCACGAAGCGTATCGCGGTCCTGCTCGTGATTTTTTCAGAGCCTAATGGTTGTTTCTACGCCCGGTGTCCCTTCGTCGTACCTGGAAACTGTCGGCGGTCGTCTGGGAACGGCCCGTACGCAGTCCCCGTGCGAGCTGTTAACTATTGCTTTCTTTTCTTTTCTATTGCCCTTTTTTTCTATTTTTTGATTTTGATTTTTTTTTTTTTTTTCGCTTTTCTCCTTCGCTGTGCAGCCCGCCCGCCCACCTTAGTTTCCCTTGTTCCCTTGTGGCTGATAGCCTCTCGCAGTCAATGCAAGCACTACAGAAGGATCTGCCTTGGTGTTTAACAGTTCATTCATGATCCCTTTGCTCGAGCATGATCTGGCCAACCTCATTAGGATAGATGCCACCTCCTTGTGAGGAGCATGTAATAAGAAGTTCTATCGAGAACCTCACCAAGCACCTTTCTAGGTTCCATCTTCTCATTCTGTTTTCGTCTTTTGTTGTTGACTTAGTCTGCCTTTCTTAATCAATAGACCCTTCTATAGACCATGGCCCAACAAGGGTCATCGAGACCATTTCGCCCCATTGCACCGCGAACGCTTCCAGATCCTCTGCCGCCGCCGCCTGCTCCTCCGGGGGGTGGAGTTGAAGAGGTCAAGATAAGGAGAGCATCTGCAGCTTGCAATGAATGCAAAAGACGTCGAACAAAGGTACTTAATCTTTTCGTTTGGTTGTCTTGCAGTGATATCATTCTTTTTGTCTCCTTCACTCTGCTTACTTAATCGACCGGTCTCTGGCTCGTTACTGATTCCCTCCATATAAACTCTCATTAATTTCTACTAAGCTCTAATCTCATTGTTATTCTTGCTATAGTGCAGTGCTGATACCACCGGCCCTCCCTGTGCTGAATGTGCGCTCCATGGACGTGACTGTGTTATCGATGAGTTTGCAGACAAGCGGCGTAAGGTCGCGGCCAGACGTGCCCAGGAGGAATTGCGATATTATCGTGGATTTGTGGAGCAGCTGCTGAAGGCAATCCGGCATGGTGAGGGAACAGATGTGGAAGCAATTGTTGCCGTCATCCGGTCGGGTGCATCTCACGACGAAATCCGTGCTGTTGTTCGAGGGCTCTTGAAGCGGGACGCGAAAGGGGAGGAAGATATGCCGGACGGCGTGGGGCAGGGAACAGAGACCGACGATACATCGAAAGACTTGACTCCCGAAGGTTGGTCTTGACCAAGGTTATTGGATTTTGCTTCAACTTGGGGAATCGATCACCCATAACGGCCACACATCGTTCTGCCGTAACTGATCTCCCTCTACATCTTCATAATCACACTTGTCGTTGGACTGATCATTTCGAGCGCCGCACTTGTTTGCTTAAGAATCCTGCAGATCACTGCTGCGCATGACTTAATCGATATATACAAAGATACAAAAGGAACAGAAAGAACCCCGGAAATTTATTGCGCATTCTATTGTGGCTACTGACTACTTTGATTTAAAATCTTGCCACCTTTCTCCTTCGATCGCCCTTTCTTCGAATAACCTTTCATGTCCTCTCCGCAGTTTTCGGCAAACCGAAGCCGTGTCGGGGGGAAGACTTTGAGCCCATACACAAACCGCGTGATTTTTGATTTTCCAGGGCATTATTGCAAGATACCGAATTCAAGGGTCCTACTTTTATTTTGCCCAGTATGGGACGCCCTGCGGCAGGAACACAGGTTGGCCGTCGCATCAGCTGGTGGGCCCGCGGTTGTTAACCTTCTGTTTGGCAAAGCAAGGATTGCCGATCAATATCTGGGCAGGCACAACATCAGGCCTATACTTCATGGGGCGATGGTGTTTGTTTTCCTTTCTTGCTTTAGCTCTTGTGACAGCGATGAATTTGAATCCTGCTCTCGCTCCACGCATTAGTCACAACAAATTGAAACCCAGCCCCACTATGTTCTTTCTCCGAATGCAATTCCCGTATCAAATAGAGGATTAATCGGTCCTAGATAGAGGCCAGCATATGGTCCAAACTACCAGCGGTTGTCCTCGCAGGCTGAGCACCAACCAGACATCAGGACATTGCACATACGGCTTGCCTGTCCCTTTTGTATCGGGCAGTTGGCTTGATCATACTTCCAATTTGATCGACCCTACCCCAAAAGTTGGACCTGTTCATGGGGTGGTTCCGCCCACGAGCCAATCGGTGGGCCAGTAATGACCGCACCCGTTGGCTTGGTCGCATGTATCCGATTCCTCCTGGGAGCGTTGACACGAATCTCAAAGGCAGGACACACTAATCGCAAAAGTTAGAGCGAGGCATGCTACTCATGATCAGCTAATTCCGCTAGACCCTGTGTCCCTGGTGGAAACTTGACCGGCCTCTGCTGATACGGTAGGCCATTGTAATCACAGCGGTGTTCCCTTCGAGTTTTTCGGCTACGTATGTTTTCCGGGGCTTGCAGGGCCAACATTCGCGGGGCTGTCGGCTTTATAACTCTCCGTTTGAGCGGGTATGGCTACTTCTTCTGTTCCTGATCTGCTTTTCAGTTAGGGGAACCGTGGAAAGAGATCGTGCTCATATTCTATCCTCGTCATGGGACCCGTCAATGGGTGACTAAGCCAACCAGGTGACCGGCAAATAACCGGCTTGTTTCCGATCTTTCTCACTTTGCATAACGATCTTCAATCAATATTCGGTGCGCCCTCTCAATAGAGTTTACGAGCGGAGCAGCACCCTCACCATTTTCTCCCTCTCCATGAATGATAATCTGTTCGCATATTCTTGAGAAATAGCGTCAGGATGCTTTTGTATAAATACTTCGGAATTGAACCGCTTCGGCCCCGGATACTCTTTGCCGGACTGTGGAGTCACTAAGTATACTTTAGTTCCAGACCCCCGCACGTCAACAGAATCCGTTCATTCCCCGGAAATTTCTCCTGGTGAAAACCGTCATTTCGCTTTCTCACGTTCACCTTGAACAGGTGAGAGACAAAAAGAAAAAGAAAAATAAGGAAAGACAGGGGCAGAGCGGGGCTATTACTCATGCAATCTCTAGTTGTAGCTACTATCAAGTGACGTGCCTCCTACCGATCCGATGGCGACAAGTCTCATTAGGGCAGATGCACAGCCGTCGCTCGGAAATGCTTGTCATACTAGAAGTGCTACGGGTCTGGGGCCGAGCGAGAGCTTTCATCCGGGGCAGAAAAGGAAAGCGTCTGAGTCATCATTAGCACCCAAGCCAAGCAATGCAAGACAGAAAATCACGAGAGCCTGTGATCACTGCAAGGAGAAAAAGACCCGATGTACTGGAACACTTCCGTGTATGAGATGTACGAGACTCTCGCTTCCCTGCGAATACAATGCCGCCTACTCAAGAGGCCTTCCTCCTGAACCTCTACCCGCGCCCCCGTCGGTAGCGGCTGATTATGCAAACCAAAATCATGCTCTCTCACCGACATATACTAACCAGAGCTTTTCTTCCCAGCGGTCGACAAGGAGGTATTCCCGGGGTGCCACTTCTTCGCATCAGCAGCCTAAGAATGGCGCTGAGATTTCAGGTCGTACCTCACCCGACCCCGTGGTCACTGATTTCGAGGGCAATTACCTTGGTCCTGCGTCGGGAGTCTCCTTCCTTAACCGTGTTTGGCGTCGTCTGCACCAGGATGAGATAGGGGCGGTTCCTGGTGAATACCAGAAAGAGTCGTCCTCCAGAAGTACGTCCGTGTTCATGTTTGGTGATAGACCCTACTCAGACGACCGGGAATCGGGCTTTACCTTTCCCTCTATTGAGCGGGCCCGAGAGCTGGTTGAAATATATTTCGACTTCTCAATGGTCACATACCGTTTTCTACATAGAGGAACTGTGGAGCATTGGCTGAAGCAAGTGTATGAAAGCAATATATCTTCCCTGAATCCACCTACTGGCCCCATGGTAGCTCGAACAGCCATTGTTCTTATAATATTTGCTGTAAGTTCACTACATGAAGAACTGAAACCAGAAAATGATATCGACGTTTGGAATGGAAGGTAAGCACGTATACCGCCACTTTCACAGATTCTCAAAGAAATACTGAACACTTGTAGCGAGCGATGGTACGCTGCTTCAAAATATCTGCTATCCCTAGAGTCAGGGCCTCCCCGGCTAGAGTCGGTTCAAGCGAGGTTAGGTCAATGCCTTTACCTACTTTCATCATCTCGAGCCAACGAATGTTGGTACGCTTTTGGGACCGCGCTGCAGCTTGTGACGGCCTTAGGGCTGCACCGAAGATGCCCTGCGAAGTTGTCGAGGAATGGCAATACCTACTTGGAACGTGAAATTCGTAAACGGATCTTCTGGAGCACCTACACTCTGGATAAATATCTCAGTGTCATGTTCGGGAGGCCGAGGCTAATCCACGAAGAAGATCATGACCAGGAGCTTCCGGATGAGGTCAACGACGAAGATATGTTACAGGAGGATGCACGCCGAAGGACAGGGTCTCCTGACTGTATGATGATCGCATCCGTTCTCCACTACCGGTTTGTCCTCCCCTGAGTTGCTCATGCTGAACTCGCAGCTCATCTCCTTGTTTGTAGACTTGGCCGCATACTTGGTGAAGTTTCCCGGCAACTATACACGATCAATCCTCGATCTCGAGAGCCGCCTCTCGAAGTGGCTGTACGGCTCACTTCGGAGTTGGAGGAATGGAAAAAGGCCGCACCGCCTTTATTCAACAGTGTTCGTGCGACAAGTCTCATCCCACCTCTGTGTAGGCAAAGCCAAGTTTTACAACTCGCATATTCGCATTCGATTATCCACGCCACTAGGTTATTCCTCCTAAATGATTTCACGGATCTCAGTCGCAGGCCACCAGAGTCACATTCCACGGTAACAAGCCATGTGCACAAATGTATAGGGGCCGCCGAAGACGTCATGAAGATAGTGGATACCCTTGGTAAACAAGGCGTCCTGATCCGGTCATTCTGGTTCACTCACTACGTGTGCTTCTGCGCCATCACGGTGGTGTATATATATACCATTCAACAATGTCAGCTGTCCTCGGATCTTGTTGCCTCGCGGAGTATGGAGGATAAAAGTTACCTGTGTTCATTATTCAACCTCGCTGAGGCTTGTCAGCAACATCTTGCTGAGGCTACCCGCAAGAACTGCCCAAGCCGTCGCTATAGCATCATTCTGGGGGAACTCAGATTGGAGGCACGTAGACAGACCGGTTCATGTCTATGTCCAGATGCACCTGCAAATACGTCACAACCGCTTGCCACTATAGCTATCCAAGGCCAAGTTTGTACGGTTGAAAGAAACGCGAACCAAGCAGATATTCCACAACCGCTCCCGTCGGCTTCTCGCTCTGCAAATAATCCAGATACCTTTGCGCCCCCAGACACAGTAGATGAAGCCTTTGATTTTAGCGAGGACTTTGGGCTCCTGGATAATTTGGAAGGACTGAATTGGTGGACTCAACTGGACTCTTGGGTGCGTTTACACTTATGCTACACTCCGATTTTGCTATACCTTGGCACATCACTGACACTTGCATAGGCATTTTCAAACCTTTCAGCAGAACCCTCAAACCTGGGTCTGTGAACCTCAGGTCACAGTTCAAAAAAGACCGAAGCCTATTACTTATGGTCGTTTTTGGCTGGTGTATATATATAATGTCATTATTATCATTTTGCTAGGATATGATTATTTGAAGAGCCCAAAAACAAAACCTGAACGTTTGGTTATTGTTATTCATTTGGCTTCAATCAATCTTTTATGTTATCTTTTCTGCCAAAGCCGGAACCTAGAGCCAGTGTCCAGCTCCTAACATCTAGTTCTAACCTATTTTTCCTAATTTTCTTATACATTATAAGCGATATTTGGAATTCATATTATGTTGTAGGTAAACCCTGTTACTCTATGGTACCGACATCAGCCGCCGCAGTGGTCGCGTGACTGGATATAGAAGAACTACCGGGCAGTGAAAACAACCACTCTAACTGAAAGCTGTTATTGCGATATAACGGGTATTGCTGCGTGATCTACGTACTTGAACTGTGGGGATTATGGCCTACTGATGCTTGCCAACATATGCCGCCGGATAAATATCCGAGGCTGCCTTGAGCATTTTCCGAGTGCACCAAAATGAAGCCTATCCTAAGAACCGGAACCAATGATGGAATTGGTTAATTTCCGAGGCAGCTAAAGGTTGCAACCTACTTAAGCCGTTTGTTTCCCCTCCATCTTCAGTGACCTCTGTAATGCCTAGTGCAAACGAGGATACCTTTCTACAACACGCTGGAGTCTCCGGTGACGAATGTATCGAAGATGATCACTGCAACCGCCCCCCATAGTGCACCATTGCCGAAGCCGATATTGAAAAATGCGAGTTTCAACCATGAACCGGATCGGGTGCCACTCACAGTCGACGAGCTCGTCCGAAGCCGTGCGTCTCTTGGTTCAGAACAACCGGTGATATGCTATCCAAGGACTGGCATTGAATATGTGGACTACCCTTTGCGCCAACTAGACATCTTTGCCTTTCGGGTCGCTGGAGCCATAGCTGCTAAGGTCCCGCCTCGTGCTTCCTCGAGGGAGACTCCAACGGTTGTTTCGCTGTTGGGAACCTCCGATCTCAGCTACCTTGTCATGCTCCTCGCTGTGGCGAAGCTAGGACACACCGGACTACTTCTCTCAACCCGGATCTCTATCGAAGCGTATGTGTCATTGTTAGAAAGAACGAACTCGCGCCATATTTTCATCCATGAATCTTTCAAAGCCACGGCTGAGGAGCTCAAGCAACGGCTCCCAGATCTGCAAGTTGAGGTGATTCCAGTACAGGAATCCTTCGATTCCCCGATCCCAGAGAAGGCTGTTGATACGAACATGGTCCCTTGGTTAGACCCTGTGGCCGAATCCAAACACCTGGCGTGGATCATTCACTCCAGTGGCTCAACTGGCCTCCCGAAGCCAATCTACCAGACTCAAGCAGCTGCCGTCAGGAATTATTCCGGTCATATGAATATGTCCGGATTCATCACTTTACCACTGTACCATAATCATGGAATCAGTGTACTTTTCCGAACAATCTACTCATCAAAGAGACTCTATCTCTATAATGCGGAGCTTCCGCTCACCAGACAACACTTGCTTGATATCATGCAAGCACATCCTCTCGAAATCTTCTACGGCGTACCGTATGCCTTGAAATTGCTCGCTGAGACAGAAGAAGGTATTGCTGCTCTTGCACAGTTCAGGGCGGTTATGTTCGGGGGATCTGCGTGCCCAGACTCGCTGGGAAATCTGCTCGTCGAGAACGACGTCAATCTTATAAGTCACTACGGATCGTACGTATACTTGGGCATAAAAGGTTGACCTTTGGCTGACTTAGACTGCAGGACGGAAACTGGTCAACTGATGACCTCCTTCAGGCCGAAGGAGGATAAGGAATGGGATTACCTGAGGCCTTCAGAGGTAGTAAAAAAATATCTGCGATTCGAAGAACGCTACCCGGGGATTTTTGAACTGGTTTGCCTCGATGGCTGGCCTTCGAAGGTCATCTCTAATCGACCAGATGGGTCCTATGCCACCAAGGATTTGTTTGTGAAGCACCCGACCCTGGAAGCGTATAAGTATTACGCTCGGCTAGATGACACTATTGTCCTCGTCAATGGAGAAAAAGTTAACCCCCTCGATATGGAAGGAAGAGTCAGACAACTCAATACAATCTCCGAGGCTATTGTTTTTGGAGCAGGCAAGGCCAGCATCGGGTTGGCGGTTGTCCGTGCGCCAGGAACTGCCTCCATGTCTGATCAGGAACTTATTGAGAGTATCTGGCCCGCCGTCGAGAAGGCGCATGAGGCAATGCCAGCGTACGGACAGCTCTCAAAAAGTATGGTCCGCGTGCTACCAGAAGATACACCCTACCCGCGCACGGACAAGGGAACTATTATCCGACAAAGATTCTACAAAGAATTCAGTAATCTGATCGAAGAAGCATATGAGGCGGAGAATGCCATGAGTGGATCGCTTGTCCTATCCGAAACAGAGCTCAAGGCCTTCATCAAGGATCAATTACGTGACATCCTTGCGCATAGAAAGGAAGATGAACTGATGGAAGATGCCGACTTCTTTGCCCTTGGGATGGACTCCCTCCAGGCTACCCAGCTTCGATCTATCCTGATGAAGACCCTCAATACTAACGGCCAAAAGCTTGGCCTGAATGTGGCGTTTGAGCATCCTACAATCAGGTCTTTGGCTCGCTATCTTGATTCCCTTAACTCAGGAGCTACAACAGAGGTCCAGTCCGTGGAAGACCAAATGGCCGGATTGATATCGAAGTATAGCGACTTCCAGCAACACGTTCCAATGTCGAATGGCTTAGACGGAAGATACATTGTAAGTTTTGTGAACCATCCGCCGAAGAGTCGAAGCTAACGCAATGCAGGTTATCACAGGCGCTACAGGTTCATTAGGAGCTCATGTAGTCAGAAAGCTTTCCGTCCGTCCAGAGGTGCAGAAGATTTACTGTCTTGTCCGTGCCGGCTCACCAATCGAAGCCTACAGTCGCGTACTCCAATCCATGCGCGGTCGCCGCGTGTTTGATGGCCTTACGGACGCCGCTAAGCAGAAAATCGTTGCTCTTCCATCCGATCTTTCGCTGTCTACTTTGGGCCTGGATGCTATAAATTATAACACGTTGACCTCGGAGATCACGGACGTCATCCACTGCGCCTGGTCTGTGAACTTCAACATGCACCTCAGCAGCTTTGAAAAGGACAACGTCGGAGGTCTCAAGCATCTCCTAGATCTATGTCTCAAGGCCCAACGACCAGCCCCAGCTTCATTCAACTTCTGTTCCTCGATCAGCTCGGTGGTGAGCACAGCCGAAGATGACATTCTCGAGGCACTCCCCAAGAAGCTCTCATATGCCCAAAACATGGGTTACGCCCAATCAAAGCTCGTAAGCGAACACATATGCATAAACGCCGCACAACAAGCGGGCATTTGTGCGAGAGTACTCCGAATAGGCCAGGTGATTGGCGACCAAGACCATGGTGTCTGGAACGCAACAGAGGCCATTCCCCTCATGTTACAAGCCGCAACAACTATCGGGGCACTCCCGAAACTCAACGAGTCACCTCTGTGGCTCCCGGTGGACACTGTTGCGGGCACAGTCATCGACATTTCCCTCTCCAGCACGGCGGTCTCCAAGCTCGACTCAGAGCTTGTCTTCAACATCGTCAGCCACCATCCGTTCCACTGGACAAAGGACCTCCTCCCCTATGTTCGCAATGCAGGTCTTGAGTTCGAGGAGCTGGAGCAACGGGACTGGATCCATCGTTTGAGAACCTCGAACCCGGATCCTGTCGCCAACCCACCTATCAAGCTTGTTGATTTCTTCGCAAGCAAATATGACACGGATAAGCCACGACGGTCGTTCAACTGGCATACTGAACGGGCAAGGGAAGTGTCAACTACCTTAGCAGATGCAAAGCCTCTGGATCAGGAGCTTGTTGGAAAGATGATAGGGTATTTCCGGAAGCAGTGCTGGTCTTTGGAGAAATGATTTGATTTGACTTTTGTATTTCCATACTGTATCTACGTTTTTTCTACATTCTTATATTTAGAAACCGGGTTTGAAGACTAACTCGATTAAGGTTGCCGCTAGCGCACTCGTTGCCCCGTTTGGGCTTAGTGTATTTTCTCTTTCTACTGAAGCGTTGATCATAACCGGAAAATAACTTTACTCTCCTATACTTTTCTCTCATCCGGATATCTGAAACTGTGTCTGCAATTCCTTAGAGTTCTTCTTAGATGACTGTATACTATACGATGTACGCGCCGCTACCTCCACGCCCCCGGAAAACCAACATTAGCGGAAGCAAAAACGGTTGCGTTCAAGGTAGATGGGAATCCCGTCGATATAAGACGTACAGACGTATGTGCAATTACTGATATTACTCGTGGTCAGTGCGATGAAGCTCGGCCACAATGTGTCCGATGTGCTCGTGCAGGGGCTATGTGCTGGTTCCAACAGATGCCGCTACGGTTTCGCTCCGTGTATACGAATAAAAGAATAGGGTCGAGCGACTCGGAGGATAATCGGTTGGGATATAATGGGGTCTCTATAACAGTACCCTCTAAGCCTGGACGACATAGTGTTTGGCAGGGGCTATATGGTTGCAGCCCCGATACACCCGCAGACGACTGCTCGGCTTCATATACCATCCTGGAGCCTGCCTCGCCGTCAAATGAGAAGAAACAACTATCCTTACAGGACAACCCTGTAGACATGACTACTGAACAACTATATATATCCTACTTTACACAAGAACTGATGAGCATGTTGCCGGAAAGCGTCCGAGCGGTTGCCTCTAGAATGACAGAACCGTCCGGTGTTCGTGAGGCTGCCATCGCCCTTTCCGCTGCCCGATTGGCTTCCATTGAAAGCGAACCGCAACTGCCACCGCTACGGAGACCTCGTTTACAGCATTTTCCCGAAGCGCTTAGTCGCTTTATCGCCGCGGTCCAGCAGATCCGATCACATCCTACGGATATAGAAAATGTGCTCGCCGCAGTCATACACCTGGTTCTCTTCGAGTTAGAAGTAGGGACACTCTGGGGGGGTCTGTTGCCATGTTGCCGGACTCGAGAACTTGCTCATACTGCACCAGGGTATCTTGATAGAGTCACACTATGGTCGAGCTCTTTTGCGGGCTGCGTTTTTCTCAGGATACGAACTCTATTTTTGCTCGGTCCGCTCTCGTCGTTCGGTACTGAATCTGCGACAGGGAGGTATCTTCAGAGACTTGTCGATGAAATAGCTCAGCCGCGAGAGATCATATATATCAACATGACCAGAGCTGTATCCATAACGACGCGTCTCATTCTGGCGTATTGCATGCAGCATGATCATAAGACCTGGCACATTGTGGCTGGCAAGGTCTATAGTCGATTTCAAGATATCTCTATGCAGCCAGCGGTTATTTCCATATTACCACAAAAGGCTGAAGGAGAAGATATCTATCTATGCTTGAAAGAGTTAGAAGAGCGGAATAGGGCCGTTATCTTCCATTCCGGCTATGAGCCGCTCAACACGACGCTTCCGAAACCAAGAGAGTCAAGCCCCAACAAGATGCACTCTTTTCTCAATATCCCCAACGTAAACCCAATCAGATTCGATCAATGTGAAGATGCCATATTTTACGCCGTGTATGCCCTCACACAGATCTACTGCGACGGAGAGCTTCTCCAAAGTCTACTCTACCAACAAGAAATCGAAAGTAATCCCCAAGTGACTGAGCATGTCAAGATGATCCTAGGTATCGCGAAAGGATACAACCCGGCAAGCTGTTTTTGCGACAGTGTATAGAACATGAACATCAGCTGGGTGTTGGTCTTGCTAGCCTTGCGCTGGCCAACTCAGGAGGTCATGACATACCTCAAGGATGACTTCCTTCCACGTTTGCAGCGCACAGATACTTTGCGGGAGGACACTGTAGGGTCACTACCATCCTTCTCTCGGATCGTGAATGTATTAGACACGGAAACGAAACATGGCCGTAGAATCTACACCATGCAACCTGTTTACGCGGACTCTACCAAGCGGGGGCATTTCTTCCTGATGAACCAGGTGGAAGGATATGCTATCCATGGCCGAGACAGCGCGGGTCACTTTTTCAACGACTATATCTCCACTTGATAATGGGCTTCGCTGAAGATATACATCCCCGTTAACATCTTCTGGTGGGTTTAACTAGGACGAACCATTCAAGCAAGTCCACATATTATACACATTCCAACCAAGCAGAGCGAAAGCTAATCTATATACGCAAGAAATATACAAAAGACCTAAAAACCAAAAAAAAAAAAAAAAAAGCCCCTAACCAAACCTCTACTTAAACCCACCATCTCCTCTCCTCAATACATCCCCCAAGCCCAACAACCTCTTGTTCACCAAGAACTCCCTCCCCCCAGTCCGATAATACCCCAACCCCAATCTCCTCTCCTCCCCATCTACCCGGTCCTCAAACGCATTCCGTCGTCGAAAGAAAACACAACACACCGTAATCCCAACTAGCAGAACCCTATTCATCCCTGTAAGCTTTTCTTTCCATTCGCCAATGTTGTACTGTATCTTTGTTGGGATGAGTAGATGGGGATATCCAGTTTGTTTTGTACTTACGTTCCCAGGATTATGGCCGGGATGCCGGCTGTTAGGAAAGCGCTGGTTGGCTTTTCGCAGGGGGCACTGTTGGGGTCTGAGTCTGGGGTGCAGGTTCGGGGGTGGAGGGGCATTTGGATATATATCTTAGTTATTTGAGGTATGTGTCTTGGTTTTTCTTGGATTATTGTGATCTGATTTCACTGAGGAAAGGGTTTGAATGGAAGATTTCATGGGTGGAATATAGTGGTGGTGGTTAGATTTTATACATATATTTATTGTGGTGGTATGTATAGACTTAGGGGTATGGATTTGGACTAATCGGATGAGGTGAACTGGTGCGCTGGTGCTATAGTTGCATGTTATAGGTATTCTATTTAGGATAGAAGTGTTTCACAATGGTCCATTTAAATGAGTGGGGCAAGTTAAGAGTATCTTGGAATCTACATTCATTACACAACCAGAACGGGAAACTCCTTTCATGCACCAAGAGATTGAACAGTAAAAACAAATTGTGTAGATATGACTTTTCTGACGTACGCCGTAACCTATGCTTTGAACCAAAACTCCATGTCGTCAAGGACATATCAACGTAACGGGCGTTGCCATATAGATACAGCTTAGAGTAGTATATACAAAAGTAGGTTACGTGAATTCCACAGGAGGTAAGCCTCTTTCCTCTAACCCAGCGAGAATATTCTCCTGGAGGAAGTTCAGAGCGCCATCCCATGTGATTGTACTCTGGGAGCCACGGCCCAAGCCCACCGGAGATCCTTGCCCATTAGGTGGCTCGCTGGTCTCATCTTTAGCATCTTCGACTAGCCACATCAGCCAGCGCACAACCGACACAGCTTTGTCGACATCCTTTTCATCGACAACGACACGCTTCACATACCGAGCGAGTGATTCCACGTCCTCGTCGAAGGGTCCATCGTCGGCAAAGGTTGCGTGCCAGGTGCCAACAGCATCCCGCAAATCGGACAAGGTGGAGAGTTTTTGGGAGGTGAATGTGGGCCTTTCGGGCAAAGGTGGTAGACAGAGACGCTTTTGTGGCGCAAAGGATGCAGAAGCCAACGGCCTATTCTGTGGTTTCTGAGCTGCGCTACCGGGACGTTGTAGCATCCGAGATCTTTTCTGCTCTTCAAGTACTTCGCGACGGATGTCCTCGGGTAGTGCTGCAAGGAACTCTTCCGACACCCCATTTTGTTCAACTGAAGGGGATTCTTGCCTTGTAGGCGGGTCCTCATCATGACTAGCGGTGGGAGTAGAGGGTCTCGGAACGAGGAAACTCGAATGAGTGAGTCGCAGGTTGCCAACCGCTTTAGTACTTGGGCGACCACGCTTTCTCTTCGTCGGCGTCGTCGGTTTCTTCAATTTAAGTGAGCCAGACGAAGAAGGGCGGGACGTCGAGCTGGCTGGCGCTACTGAGGCTGCAGGTTGTGGGCCACTGGTCCTTGGGGACTGGTCATAGTAACCCAAGACTTCAGCTCGGACATCGTCCGGTAAAGCAGCTAAAGCCTCTGGATCTAGCTGAGATTGAGGAGGGAGTTTTGCGCCATCGAGAGGTTGCGCACGCCGACTCGGAGGGCAAGGTGATGAAGACCGAGACTCGCTGCGAGGCTTCGCTTGCGATATAAGTTTTGATCGAATGTCATTTGGAAGTTCAGCAATAACTTTCGGGTCAGGCTGGGATGGCATGATAAACTGAGTTCCCGATATATTTAGTGGTTTATCATTGCTGTCGTTCAAGGATGGCCTATGGATGACGGAATCAGTCTCTCCTTTGCGAGGACTATCCAAATCATCTGGATCGTGGCTATTGTGGATGTTCTTGCGAGCGGGAGATGTCTTGAAGTTGAGCTGTTGTTGGCTATTGTCAATACTTCCCGTATTCCTAGATTTCAGAGGTTCCAATTTAGTCATTTGAACCCCTAGGCCTCTGAGATCGCCAGGCGTGATTCCAAAACTTCTTAGCATAGAAACAGCCTCTTTCCCCAGCGTTTCTGCCGCATTGGTGGCTACCCCAAGTATCACACTCTTGTTCAACACATCACACTTCCCATGTCCCAAATGCTTGACCGGCTCCAGGGGTGCATCGGCTGCCCTCCTCATGACCTTTAGGGTCAATTGCTTGCCTTTAACTAGGTTTTCGACGAGTCTTCGGTGTAGTTCATCGCACAGAGATTGCACAAAATCGTCGGCTTGAACTTGGTTGACGAAACGAATACCCCAGTTGACTTCGGCAGAGACAGATTTCCTCATTACCTCAGTCCCAACTTCTGTGCGGTCGATTCCGCGAGCATAATCCCAGATCTTCGCTCCAAGTTTCGGCCCGAGCGTAGAAGTAAGTTTTTCACGCGCAAGTTCCCTCACATCCTTCACAAGCTTGACGCCGAGTTCTTCAAGTTTGGCTCCCAGGCTGTACCCAACACCAGGTAGGTCCTGGACTGTCAGGCCCCCAATGAAGTCTAGAACAGCGTCCGGTTTGAGTTGGAATTGACCAGCGGGCTTTGCTTTGCGCAATGCAACCTTTGCCTGTAGGATATTCCCCCCAATTCCAACTGATACAGCACAGCCCGTTTTGCTCTTCACAGAGTCCCGCAGGCTCTGGGCTATCTCGTCTGCCTTTGCTTGTTCCCGATAAAGCGAGCCCTCTGAGATGCCCCTGCCATCCGATCCACCAGCCTCCAAGCACTGATTAGTGATGTCAATGAGCGCTTCGTCAATACTCACACTCTGCACAATTCCATCCAGGGAAAGGATGGCACTGTAAAATTTCTGACTTGCCTCTTCGTATGCAGGGAAGTCGTAAGGCAGCACCTTTAAATCAGGACATGCCTGTAGGGCTCCCTTCATCCACATTCCGTTCTTAACCCCATGAGCACGAGCTGCATAGTTGCAACTTGCAATCTCTGAGCCAGAGCCGGTGCCGTGCGCAACAGCAACTGGCTTTCCTTCATACCCTGGGTTCTTCAGAGTAGATACAGCCGCAAAGAAGCAGTCGAAATCCACGTGTATAATATATCGTCTTGCGCCAGGAGCATTTTTCTTCCTCACTGGTTGAGATTGCGATTTCTCCTTCGTTGCTGCTTGAAGCTGGGCCTTCAGCTCAGCTTTCCACGTAGATAGGTGATGCAAACGAGATTCCTTATAAAATTGCTGGAGAAAATCCGGATTGACAACGCTTGAGTTCCTCATGCGTGGATCCGATAAAAGTTGCGCATTGTATGCTTCGGATGACATGTCCGGCTTGGCAGGAGAACGGGGTGACGCAGGCTTTACGATTGCTTTAGATTTTGGTGACATGCTACGACTAGGGTTACGGGTCGTATCGTTTAATCTTGGCTCAGGCTCTTGAGCTTGGTCTTTCTGAGGCTCTTGTGGAAGGGGGACATTGCTCGTCTCTTCCGTAGAGCTGAAACTTGGGAAGTCGCCGTAATCCGACTGAGACGCAGCCTTGAGTGACGAACCAGCAGCGCTATGCGGCTCAGCGACAGAGACTGATGGCTGCACATTAACATCGTCCACTATGTCTAGCTCCTTTGCTCGAGAGGTGTACGGGCTTGGTGATGATTGACCTTTGTAGCTTGAGGGCGAGCAATTCGTCTGACTGACAATGCGGCCATTGTCGAACTTGAGAACTTTTTGAGAGTGACCCTCGTCCACCACTCTAAAAGAATCCCAGGGAAGTATGCGTCCGGCTTTAATACTTTCCACCACCCATGCCGGTTTTACAATACGATATCTTCGGAACTCCTCTCGCTTCTTCGGCGTGAGAGAGCTTGCGATGATATGGGTGGCCGCCGTCTTTCCGTCAAGATATTGGAGAAAACCGCCGCCATGGCTTACGATTAGGCGATGAAGGTCCTGCAGAGACGGTTGAGTGTAGCCATTTACGTGCGCAACCACACCGCGAAAGATTTGGGGGTAATCTGATGCTGAGGAACGAATCTCGGCATCTAAATTCTGTAACTTGATCTTCTTCCGACGCATATAATCGCCATGCCCCCCAAAGGCCGAAGCCCCATATTCTTCGCCTTCCTCATTGTCAAATGTGTCTAGAAAATAACAGTTAAAATCACTGACATCATAGCTTTGGAGAGGGTCAACGAACGTACGGCCTGCGATCCGCTTGCGCACGGTGCTGGAATTTGCGTCAAGCAAAGAGCCCATGATGGGCTAGAGACCGGTTCTCATGATACGGCTCACAGCGTCAGCAATTCATGGAAGGGGGAAACAAAGGCGATGAGGGGACTTCTTGAACAAGATACGCGGCGGCGGCGGAGCTCGCGACGGGCGGAACGAAGTCATGTGATGCGGTGAGCTTCGAGGCGGTCAGTGGCGGCAGAGAGGAGGGGAGATTGAGGCGGTGAGCCTTCTGATTGGTGACTGGATTTTCAAAGTCTAAAAAGAAAGAAGAAAAAAAAAAAAAAAAGCGGATCCACTTATGCTCCCTTGGAGGATCCGCAGTCAAGACTAGTTGACGGTATCAATCAAAACTTTTCCTCAGGATTCGTTCGTCTCTTCTCGTCCCTTCT